GCCTGCCAGGTCACAGGAAAAGAATTCCAAAAAAAAAGGAAAAACATCCAAAACAAAAAGTGTGGCCCGGCCATGGTGCCTGTGTCTCACAGGCTCCTAATCGACGGACTAACTGACTGATTGACTGATTGTTCAGTTTCTGCTGTTCGAACGAAACCATGTTTCACACCATTGTTTGCAAGCACGGCATGACGCGGACCGGGAGGTGCAGCAACCGATTGTACAACGTGGTGGCGGCAACGCCAGTTGGGCTGTGTTTGTTTTGTGCATATTTGTACGTGACACGAACACAAGAAACGTCGCAGTTTGAAACTGATTGTTTTGCATGTTGTTATCTTGTTGCAACCAGAAAGTTGCGTGTGCTCATGTGCGTCACACAAGCCCCGCGTCTACCGACCGGACTTCCGAACTGCGGTCGTGAGAAGGCACGGAGGACAAAAAGTGTCTTTCATGCTCGACTGCCAAAGGATGAGCACCAGCTCAGCACCCAAACCCACGAACCAAGCCCAGCCTAGAACCACTACATTCAACCCCCAAAACAGACCGGGGTGGCACGTGCAGGCAGCCAGTGGCCGGAGCTTATAGCAGCTTTTGGCTCCAGCAGTTCATGTTCGCCAACAAGCACGCGCATGTGCAGCATTTAAATGTTTTCCAGGGTTGAGCAACCATCATGGGACGACGTTGCAACCATTGAAACATCGTTTCTGGACTTCCCCAGACCCGGTTTCGAAAAACACAACGTAACATATCACAGCATCATGAAACATCATGCTTAAAAAAGGCCCGTGAAAAAACATCATAAAGCAGCAAACCCTCATAAACTGCATGCTCCACAGATTCGCACATCTTTGCATTCGGTGATGTGGTCTCATACCCACAACGCATGAGCGCTAGATCCATGTGGGCATCAAGCAGTTGGACATGGCAATTGGGTGTGAGGTTATGGGTGCCGCATGCGGACGTCTCTCCGGAAATTGTGGCGACGCTGGGACAATATGATCTGGTTCCTGGCGGGATTTACAACGGCCATCATGTCTACAAAAAGCGAGGAACCCAGCAACTTGGCTGCGTTGCCAAGGCATTTTGGATGCTGTCACATGTAAGGTTCCAATCAAAGCAGGATGTCCATTCCGCGAATCTTAGAAAAACGTTTGTGTTGCACACCCCGAAGCGTAAGGCACGTCTTGGCATTCTTGCGATTGGGAGCCTCTGGAACATGGACCCTATGTCGTTCCAAGCCATGGTTCAGGCCGTTGACGGGAAATTCCAGGCCTGATCCCAGAGCCGTTGTGCAAGCAGTTGTTTTGTTCAGGAGCACCGTGCGTATTTGTGGTACTTCGTGTATGTTATGTAACCGTGTGCAGCTTGAGAGGAGCCCTTCGCGACGTGAGATCAGGCAGCACGTGGCCAGTTGTCGCCGTCATGTCCTGGCTACCTATCAGATGCGGCATACTTCTCGGTTGTTGTGGTGACTGGGCTTGCAGCCCATGCGTCCGCGGGTTTGTGGTAATGAAAATCCGAACCTGTAACAAATGGAACAACTTCGCAAGGCCAAGTGAACAGCGTTTGAAAACGCATGAAATCGCATTGTTGAGCGTCCAATGAAGGCATGATGGTCACGGCCGCCTGGAAAGAATGACCTTGCCGGCTGGAAGGCGCATCGGTGTGCAGCCATAGTCATATCAGTATTCTGTATTTTGCGTGGCGCATGCCAGGCAATTTCGCTACAACCACAGCGGGTTTGTAGATGTTGTGACCGAATTCGTACAGGACTCATTCACAGGGCTGGGACGGGGAGTCTCCGGGGTTGCAGAAGCAATTATGGTACACTCGTTGGCCAGGATGCGGGAACAATGCAGCAACAGTTATTGCTGGATCGTTCAGCAGTCCGTGCTTTGGAGCCAGTTTTCTTCCCTGCAGACATCAGTTTAAAGGCTGGGCACGGGGGGACTAGCAATTTTGTGTCATTTTAAAGAAGATGACAATTCTCCATAGCAGATATGTGGAACATGTGACGGCTCCTGACCAGGTGTCACAATTCCACAAGCCGCCCATGAATTTGTGGACCTTGGGCACTTTTTGGTACCAAGAAATCGCCGCGACGTTGCAGTCCCTCGCAAGTTTAGTCAATTTCAGTCCACGTGCATGTGTGCTTTCATGTACTGCAGCATGTCGTGATGAAGGAGTGGGCCCTGCTGGGGTGGCGGCTACTTGCCTCAACTTTGCTGCTACCCTCGGATTGGAGAGGCCAAGCGCGGCTGGTGTTTTGGTAACGGCCTTCAAGCTGAGCCTCGGGCCAATGGCTGAACGTCATTCCATGAAGAAGGAGGTCACTTTCTATACAAACCGGTGTATATGTATATACATGGGGAAACTCAATCCTATGAAGCTAAGCAGCTAAGCAATCGACTTTAACCCCCGTGGAAGATTGAGGTTTGTTTGGAAGGTATGTTCATGTGGCGCACTAGCCGAAACTGGACTGCAGCATGTGGCAGCTGATGCTTAGGACGAGCTTCAACAACACTGCTGTGCACCATTTCTTCCCCGTAGCATGGATGCATATTTGCAAGTGCAGCTTTATGATGTAGTTGGTTTGCCGTACGCAGCGGTCAACTTGGACGGTAAGGTCCTCAAGCGTCAGTTCTTGTACCGGCACTTCCTAAGACTCCCAGCCGTGGTCCATCACTGTCAGTGCAAATTTTCTTGCAGACTTACCACAAGGAGTCCCTGGAGATGTTGTCTTGGGCGTGTTGATGGTGGTGAATGTTTATTCCATCATGTTCGAGTTCGTTGCTGCACTCGCTGATAATTATGTTGGTTGTGGCTGTGTTGGTTCACTGGGAATTTTTGCAGAGTTGTGTTGCGGCTCTACAAGGGTCAGATGGTTCAGGCATCTCAGGCTGGAAGAGGGACTTCATGACATAACTTGCAGGACGCAACCAAGCAACACAGCATTCAGGTGCGGGGGATTTCTTCTACCTGCTGATTGTCCGGTTTTGTGTTCTTCCTGTTGTTGTCCATTATGGTCCCTGGCCAGTGTGATGAATGGTTTCCTGCTATTTATAGAGTGTTGGTGCTCTTTTCTTGCGCTACAACCACGATTGCATACCTCTCATGCAGCGGCAGTCCTCTGGGTAATGCATTTGGGAGGCGTTTGAAGTGATGCCTTAATATCGCTTCGCGCTCTTGAAGCCAGCAAATGCTTCCCTGCTGTCCAGCCATGTCCAGCTTGTTTGCTGATGAAGGGTGGTTATTGCAATAATCGCACCTTTTTAGACTTAATTTCTACAATGTGTTCCTTGACATCGGAAGCTCATGGCCAAGCAATTTCTACTTGTCATGACGAGGTGGTACGGTAGCTACTACTGCCATGCACTGCCGTAGCAAGCGGAACCACCGTTGTCATGATTGGCCGTTATCATGTCTTCTTAGTAGCTTCTCCATGCAGGTTCAAGAACTTCTGATGCATCAGGACAAGTTTGCCATCCTGCCCTTCTTGGCGTCCGTGGACATGTTCTGGCCATCAGAATGGAATTCCACAGTTTTCCTAGCGGTGGACTCAAGTGCAGAAGATGCACAACTCTGCTCAGAGTTGGCACTGCGTGTGCAGTGTTTGGTTCCGCCGACCATCAATCGTTTTCGGGGCTTGGTGGACTCTATAGAGTTCAGCGGCAGAGAAGTGAGCCGCCGATACAAGGACCAGCTCCTTGGATAGGTTTCGTTCACAATGTTTGCTTTCGCAATGTCTAGGTCCTTCCGTACTACGAAGAACAACTCTAACATAATTGTGGACTGAGGCTTCTCCAATTTCATTACTTGCTTTCCGATCAGCATCTCGCACTCGACTCCTTGAACTGGGGTCCCTGCACATATTTGCCTGGCCATCTTTACAAAGAACACCGTAAAGATGCGGTGCATTTTTATTGGTTTGTACCGTCGATATTTGTTCGTGTGTGGCCAAGTCTCCAGCTGGTAAAGGCCGAATAATTTGCTGTTGCACGAAAACGGATGGCTCAGGTACATTGCGCAAAGCCACCCCCTTCCGGATTGGATTGCTTGGTTCGATGCTGATGTCTTGGCCTTGGAGGGACGTGCAGCTTTTTGTTTGGTTGTCGCACGAAACCACAGGTTTCAGCCAAAAAGGTTCAAGTCCAGTTCGGGGAATCGCAGCCAGGTGGTTCTTCACACTCCACATGTGCCAGCGCTCCTCTTTGATGCCGGTCGACCTGTTCTCCATGCGCGGCGTTCGCCAGTGTACTTTATGGCCACCATGGCTGCTGGAATGGATTGGATAGCCCGGCGCCCGGGGTGATCTGAGATAGCTGCAGAACCCTTCCTGAACCCTTCGGAACCCAGCTTTACAGGTCATGTTCTTACAGAACGCCAAAGACCACGGTTTAGTAACTGGCACCACGCGAACTGAGGGGGATTTCATGGACACCTACCCCATGCTTGTTCGGCCATCCCACCTGCAGAACTTCCGACGATTCCTCCAGAACGTGTTCGAGGAGATTCTAGCAAACATAGTCAGGGGTAGTAATGGTTGAGAATCCTGCATGATCTTAAGATGCTAGGTTTTATCATTCCTAATAGACCCCATTCTTTGAGATTCCTGCCAAGAGTCCGATTGAAGTAAAGAATCAAAAGCAGAGCAGGAACCTGACTTCCAAGCCGCCTACCAGAAATGGCGTGCGAGGACTTCTGAAGTAATGGGATGGGGTTTTGGCAGAGATGGCTTTTTGAGGAAGACAGGCCCGAAACAAGCCCAGAATACAGAAAGGCGATCTTTTGAATGGCTTCCCCCTTTGATCTGCATGAAGGACGGAAGAGGCAGCGTTGCTGCACGGGCGATCCACACGGTTTCTCGCTGAGGGCGAGTGTGATTTGGCAAATGATTGCCTCGTTGGCCCTTCCAGAAGTCCAGAAGCCCAATAAACTTGCGAAAAAAATCGCATCTGAAGCATGTTGCCCAATTGGGGTGTTGGGCTCCAACTGCCTGTGCCAGATGTTATGTATGGTGGCACTTTGATTGAGCCAAGGTCCGCAAAGTTCCTTCCCCCACTTCTTGCAACTTGGGCTTACCAGCTTAGCAGATCTGCGGTTTTGCATTTAGCTTTTTTTGGGTTGTGCCGGCAGCCTACCCGGTTTGTGCCTCAAACGCGGTTTGGGGACGGCGCAGCTGCCGAAGAGAAGCTAGCGATACTTCCAAAGCAGTGAAGGGATAACATCAAGACTCACGGTGACACATGGCAAATGTCTTCGTCATCTTTGCTACTTCTAGCCCGACACAGCACGCCGTCGAAAAAGAAGAGGGGCGCCGTTCATTTCAGGAACCATGCCGGAATTTCAGGAACCATGATTCAGGAACTTGGTAGGGTCATTTCAGGAACTTGGAAGCGC